GAGGAGGGAGGAGGAGGGAGAAGCTAAGAGAAGGGAGGAGGGAGAAGCTAAGAGAAGGGAGGCGGGAGAAGCTAAGAGAAGGGAGGAGGGAGGAGGAGGGAGAAGCTAAGAGAAGGGAGGAGGGAGGAGGAGTGAGTAACGCGTGAGCCTCCCGTCGTTGCAGGGCCACCTTCTTCGACGTCGTCAAGGAGACGACGCAGACGTGCTTCAAGGAGAGCATCGACCAGCTGCTCGGTCACCTCAGCCACACGGGACGCGTTGCCGACGGCGACCTGCGCAGCCTCCTCTTCGGAGACTACATGCTGCCGGACGCGGAGCCGCGAGTCTACGACGAGATCACCGACCTCAAACAGCTCACCTCGACGATGGAATAGTGCGTGCGACCCGCGCATGTGACCCCTGCATGACCCCTGCATGACCCCCGCGTGTGACCCGGTGACCCCCGCGCGGTGCGGCGGTGGCTGTAGTTAGCTATAGCTAGATACAAGGTTCACGCACGCTCCGAAAACCTGGACAGTCTATGGGCCCGTAATCAGAAACAAAATTAGTCTTAACATTAGTCTTAACACTTACGTTAAAGCTGGTGACAGAAATGTGATAAAGTTACGGGTTTCTCATGCGCAGTGTATAGAGGTGCGGTGTAGGAGAGCATTAATGTAAGAAGTTAGAGAAAATGTTAAGACAAATGTTAGATTGTTATAAAATTATATTGTTACATTCGTCAATATCAATTACCCTCAATTTTGTCAGCCATCGTCGGTAGATGGCGTCACATATCGTTGGTACCTATGGGTTGCCGTAGTGACCGTGGTGAAGGTCTGTAGGTGCGTGTTCACGCGTTGTCGTCTGTCTCCGTAGTTACCTGGACGAGTACAACACGATGAGCAAGTCACCGATGTCACTCGTCATGTTCAAGTTTGCCATCGAGCACGTGTCGCGCATCAGCCGCATACTGAAACAGGACAACGGTCACGCTCTCCTGGTCGGTATGTCACCCACACACTGCTGGTCGGTATGTCACCCACACACTGCTGGTCGGTATGTCACCCACACTGTCACCCACACACTGCTGGTCGGTATGTCACCCACAC